TCAAAAAATACTTTGCTTAAGACAAACCCGCTGGAAAGAAAAAGAATATCCAGGCAAAAATGGGGCATCCTGGCGAACCATAAAAGGATAGGTTCGGGCAAAAGTTAGGGATACAAGAAAAATGTGAACCCGCAAAGTTGAAAACCTGAAAGGGCAACTTTGGTAAAAATGGGTATCCTGGTGAACCGAAAACCCGAAAGGGCGATTCAGGCAAAAATTAGGGATTTTAAAGCAAATGACTGCGGCCTGCGCATTGATCATCACAAGCATAGTGGATTCTAGGGAGAACTCGAAGATCGACCATTCAAATCAGTCTCTTCAGAAGTTAAAGTATCGGAAAGCGTCAAAGCCACGCGAGTCATGGATGAGTCGTCACATGGTGTTTGTCTGTACCACATTGCCAACATTTTGTATATTTTTCCTTGCAATTGTCTTTTTGCGCAGCTTTCTCTTTTCAGGAGTTGCATCCGATGTAAAGTTGCCTATTTTCAGGCCCTTTATCAATAAAATATACTATTCAGAAAAGCTTTTGTTCTGGTTTTAACTTTTACCGTTTTGTTTGCAAGAGACGCCTGATATTTTTGATGAAAAACCTTGCATACATAAACTTGTGGGCTTTGCTAACTGTTAATCAAGACATTTAAAAAAAAAAAAGTCATAATTGATAACTTGGTGCCAGCTGTACAACACATTTGTCTAGTTGTTGTTACTTTCCCCAAGCAGAGGTTGATGATGATTCCCTCCTTATCTAATCCACAACCAAGTTAGTAGAGTTAATTTTCTTCCCCACAGAATGGAACTGACTCAGAGATCGTTCATCTCCATCCCCAGCAGAGAGAGTGTGGGATAATCCTCCCAGTAAATCTTATTCAACATCCCTAGCAGATAGTGGATTCAATCTCCGGCAGAAGAGAGTTATTTCACAGCGCTCAGCTGTGTTTGCCCAATAGAGTTATTCTGGCTAAACATTCACGGTTGATTTCCCCGGCAGAGCGGAGTTGTTGTCTCCAGCCAAGTCGTTTGTCTCCCAAAAGAGTTGTAGGTTGATAGGCCCCCGGGACGTTTTCCGCAGCAGAGTTTGATTAGGATCCCCAGCGGAGTAGTTTTGTTCTTAGCAGAGCAGTTTTTACCCAGAAGTTTTTCTCGGAGGCCATCCAGGGCTTGTATTCCCCAGCACGAGTTTGTTTGCGCTAAGCGTATCTAGCCTCGACCCAACGGAGTGGGCTCTTTCTCTTTAGCATTTATTTTGCTAAATTGGTTCATTGGCATCTACATACATGCATAGCATCTACCCAAACGCGAAGCATTTCCATTTCGCATGGAGCATTTCGTCATATCCAAACATATGCATGTGAAACATAAGCTGAGTCGTTACCCTTTTGTTTCAAGTGAATCCCGCAGATGACTAGTATCTTCGCCCGTGTGTTGGCTAGACCCCAGCTCATGCTGTCTCCCCAGCGGTTTTCTTTTGTGATTGTCACCAATGGATGGTCTTAAATTCGTTTGAATCTTGTTGCTCATATATTCAGCGAAGCCTTGGCGGCGATGTTAAGTGATTTAGTTCTTCAACGGCGATGTTGAGAAGTTTGTTTCTGACCGCGATGTCAGATGGTTTAGTCCTCCAACGGCAATGTTGGGAAGTTTGTTTTGACGGCGATGTCAGATAATTTGATTTTTTCAACGGTGATGCTGAATATTTGTTTTGACGGCGATGTCAAGAGGTTGATCTTCAACGGCGATGCTGAATATTTGTTTTGACGGCGATGTCAAATGATTTGATTCTTCAACGGCGATGTTGAGAATTTTGTTTTGATGGCGATGTCAAGTGATTTGATTCTTCAACGGCGATGTTGAGAATTTTGTTTTGACGGCGATGTCAAGTGATTTGATTCTTCAACGGCGATGTTGAGAAGTTAGTTTTGACGGCGATGTCAAGTGGTTTAGATCTCCAACGACGATGTTGGGAAGTTTGTTCTGACGGCGATGTCAGATAAGTTAGTTTTTCAGCGGCGATGTTGAAAGTTTGTTTTGACGGCGATGTCAAAAGTGATTATATCCTTCAGCGGCGATGTTGACAGTTTGTTCTGACGGCGATGTCAGATAAGTTAGTTCTTCAACGACGATGTTGAAAGTTTGTTTTGACGGCGATGTCAAAAGTAATTGTATTCTTCAACGGCGATGTTGAGATGTTTATGTTGACGGCAATGTCAAAAGTAACTATATCTTTGAATTTAATGGTTGTTCGTATTTAACGGAAAAATTGACGGCGAGGTCAGATCATTCCGAGGATTGACGGCGAAGTCAGAAGACGATTTTGAAATTTTTTTTTGACGGCGAAGTCAGAAAATATTGTAAATTGGACGGTGAGGTCAGAAGATTATTTTGAAGAGCTGACGGCGAAGTCAGGGGCTTTACCAAAGTTCTGTGAAAAAAATTTGATGGCGAAGTCAGAAAATATTGAGGACCGACGATAAAGTCAGTGGATTTATAATTTTGACGCTGAGAGCTGACGGCAAGGTCAGACGTTCTACTTAATATGGGTGCCTGGCGGCGATGTTAGAAGTTCGTTTCGCGGTTGTCAAATTTCCGGGTCCTTGGGTATTCAACCGTCTTTTACCTTGATTGTATGAAAGTCACTTACCTTTCATCCCTTCAGGCCCAAGCCGTTTGAATAGGGGCAGCTGTTGTACCCCAAAATTTGACCGACCTCTCTGGCTTATGTTTTATTTCATTGCATCAGCATATACATAAGCATTGCATTGCATAGCATTTTGCATTTCACAGGGGATCAAGAAATGTGTGTCTAACAAAAAATTACCAATGGTTTTTAACCTGATCAAGGAGGTTATATTCAAGTCACCAAGTGGTTACCCTTATCAGAGACAAGTCAAGGTCCTTGAAGACAAACAGATAAGCATATGTGATTGTCAGGGGCAGAAAAATCAAAAAAAATATATGTTGCTTCCATCATAAGATTGAGCTGAATTGGATAGGTTTTGGTTAAGGTTCATTTAAGGGATGAGTGTATCAATGTGTGGGCCCGGTAAAGGTTGGAAATCAGTCAGGTTTGACTTGATTTTGGTTTGGCGAATTTTATTTCATGATTAAGGGTTAGAGATGATTGATTCAAGTGATAGGTTTGATTCCTTTCAGGGCATGGTTAATCGTTTTTAAGAGATTTTTGGAATATCTTTGATTTGGTGTTCCAATATTCTTGGAGCCACATCCTTAGATAAGTATTGAGGTTATGAGAATTAAGCGAGATAAGTCATGGTTGGATTTATTTTAAATTTGTGCAAATTATGACAATTCATGCTTTAAAAGAGGAGTGACTCATGCTTGCCTCAGGATTCATGTTTGATTAGAAAGTTCATATCTTCAAGGTAATAATTCGTTCACAACAGAATTGAGAGGGAGATTACATAGCAAAATCAGAAAACTACAAGGCATTGAAGAACTTCATTACAAATATTTCACAAAAAAAAAGAGAAGCTTTGCTGCATGTGATTACTCTGTTCCTGAGGATGGACTTGAGATGCAATAGTTTGAGAATGAGTCCTGCAACACCTGTCATTATAACAGGCCCAGAATGTCATCAACAAGTTAGATATTGTGGCAAAATCCACCTCCTAAAAGTGCGCTGTAGTGTTTCAACCTCCATGTAGTTAGCGTATACGCGCCGGATTCCCTTCCATACTGTGCTCATAATCAAAGCCTGAAAATAACAAACATGATAGAGTAAATTAATCCTAAAACTTATGCAAGTCAAGACATGGTGATAAATATTCTTCAGAGCAATATGCAGAAACGTGTCTAATACACTAGGATAAATCCAACATTACCAAGCTAGAGAATGAGGAATCAAGGGTGCAGCTGACTAGTGAGGAGTCAAAGCTCCAGCTGGAGTGTGACCCGAAGCCTACCTGTGACGTTCTCATGCACATCTCTTCTGCTCCAGAAAACCAGGTATCTGAGGTCAACCCTAGTTCAGGGTCTCAAGTAAAATCTGATTCTTTTTCTACTGATTCTGTGTCAATTAATGAAAAGAATGAACTAAAGGATACTATAATTGCTAATAATGGCAAATTAGAACAAGATAATGTTAGGCCAGAGATGGTGGAAGAACCATCATCCAGAAATGACGTACCTGTTTATGATGAATTGCATTCGCATTCAACGGATGTTGGTGGAGGGATGCATGAAAAAAGTCACATGTTGAAGAAAATAACAACAATGTTACAAAGTCCAGAGTTGAACAAAACCAATAGTAGTGATGATGTAGGGTATCCAGAAAAGTTGAACTTGGACAGAGGTTCTGGTGATGATTCCATGGAAGAGGACTTGCCTGAGACTAGGCAATATGATTCTAAGTTTAATGTTGATGAACTTAGGGACAAAGTCGAGAATAATGAAGTTCCTATAGTCGATGAAGATAGCAAGCCAATGGTTGAGGGAGATGGTGTATTCGCAAGAAAAAGCGATACCCATCAAGATATTGACATTAGTCCTGTTTCCTTGACTGAGAAGCGAAAATAGCCTGAACAAACATTAGTCGGAAATAATGAGCCTGCAAAAAGGCAACGCAGATGGAACACTGATACTATTAAAGGGTCAGATCTGCAAGGCACTACTCCCAGACCCGTCATTACACCCAAGGATGGACAAATTACTCTGAAGCGCAGCTTTTCTAGGTCTAGTTCCTCAGCAACTGATGATACACCTAGAGAACGCATTGTTCCTCCATCACGAAGGACCCCAACTAATTCCCTCAGGATTGATCAATTCCTTCGTCCATTTACCCTAAAAGCAGTGCAAGAACTTCTTGGCAAAACTGGGAGTGTCAGCAGTTTCTGGATGGACCAAATAAAGACTCATTGCTATGTTACTTACTCATCCACCGAAGAGGCTGTTGAGACACGAAATGCTGTGTATAATTTGCAAGGCCTCCAAATGGTGGGCGGCTCTTGGTTGCAGAGTATGTTGATCCTGAAGAAGTGAAAATGAAGCTAGAAGCTCCTCATACTCCAACTGCCTCTGTAAACAGTGTTCCAACAAGGGAACGACTTCCATCGCCACCACCCCTTCCTGAGAAAGTGGAACCACCTATTGTCACTCTGGATGGCCTCTTCCGCAAAACCACAGCAACTCCTCGTATCTATTGTTTACCTTTGTCTGAAGAGCAAGTTGCTGCAAAACTTGCGGCACAGGGTAAAAGTACGAGGCAGTAGGCAATTAACTGGCTATTTGTATCGGGTAGCTTGATGCTTTTTTTCTTCTTTATGGTCATTGTACTAGTTAGTGGTATTATGGAAGCAGTGAATGCATCTTGGCTGGTCGGCTGGTCTTTGTATCAGAATTGTCATTTGAGGTTTGAATTTCTTTGTTAGTGTTGAAACTTCTTAAACTAAGAGCCACTTGTGTGCATATATTTTCCCTGCTGTTCGAACTAGTTTTAGTGAACCTATCCCATAACAATTTCATTGATCGGTAATTCCCTGCAAAATATGACAAGCATGTCAAGTTTAGTGGATATTTGAAAGTAAAAAGCCAAAGTCAGATTGCATTTGAAGTCAACAAATTGCCCCATCAGCATAAATCAAAGCAGTAAAAATCACAAATGAAGCAGTAAAAATTCAGAGTAAAAATATCAGATATTTTCAATTTAAATGAACAAATTCAGGGACATGAAAATAAGACAGCAGAGACACATTCACGAAAATGGCAAATACAGAGCAACAGTAGGCAATTACAGCACCACAGTCTTAGCACAGAAATGGGAATAGGACAGATTAGTAGCAGACCAAACCTAAAACCTAAGGTGCAGAGGATTTCAGAGCCTTAAGGGTTGGTCTGCTAAACCTAATTGACTTCACTATAAAGGCTTGATGTTGGAGAGGAGAGAAAGGATTCTAAAAAAAAACGGCTGCCTTCTCTCACAACTCACCTTCATCATAACACAAGACACACATAAAGAACTGAAAAGAGAGAGATTGAAGAAGGAGCTTATCTGCTTTCGGTATTGACAATCTGGTGGTATCGGTTCAACAAGAAGCTTTGCATCATCCAAACTCCTCATCACTAGCGCGATAACCTGTCGGATTCGCTCCAGCTCTGTAAGTATTCTATTGTCTTTTCTGTCTTCATAATCTTAAACTATTGTCACTTCGTTTTCTGGTGGCAAGCCTTCGAGAGAGAGAGGCAGTGGGTTGTTGTGGATAGAGGGGACACTAAACCTAGCCGCAGAAATATCGTTCCTCTTCTACCTTCAACAACCTCATCCCTTTTCATACTCACTCTTCTCCAACCCTAACCGGTTCACCTCCGAACATCAACTTACACTCTCAAACTCACCTTACAATATCTTTACCAGAAAACTCCCATCAGCGATAGCCTTTTCCCCATTGTTCCTTTGAAACGCAAACTCGCCGCCGTTATCATTTCGCTTCACCTTCATCTTTTACCATAGAACAACTTCAACCCAGAAACAAACCTTAAGCCTTTAAACCTCATCAACTTCATCACTCTTCATCTTCACCGCTGGAAACTTCAACCTTTAACCCGGAGATCCGCTCACAAACCTCAGAGCTTCAATACCCATCCCTGACCCTAACCATTTTCGGACACAAACGACCACTGTGAAAATTTCCAGAAATCTCACTTCGTCTTCGAACACCACCTTCAATCCCTCCCAATCTCATAAACGAAAATCCAGAACTCAGTCTTGAGTATCATCTTTTCAACCTTCTCTGCAAGCAACCGCCACAGCCACTACCCTCAAACCCGTTTCAACCGCGAACCAACCTACAAACGAAAACCCATTTCACTTTCACAGCCAAACAACAAAACAAAAAATGCAATCCATCCTCTTCCACGCAAAACCCACAGTGAATCCACCCGTGAACCTCAACCGTCAACACCCATTTTTCGCAACCCAGATTTCTCCACCGTTTCCCCACCCAAAACGTAAAACCAAACACAAACGCTCCTATCTTTCTCTCAAAAGAACGTTGCCGTGAATGCACCACCTCCGTCGCATCGAGATTCATCATCGGCGGCGGCAGAATATCACAAACCTCACACAAAGTACTTAATTCGTTTTGGTCACAAATGGGCTTTTCTCCACTGTTTGCTCACAGTTGTTGATGCCATAGCATTATATTAATTGAAATTAACGTGAATGTTAATCCTTTTTTTGTTAGTTTTTTTTAATATAGTATTAGTAAAATCTGAGTTTCATAGTGATGGGCCCAAACCTCTTTTTTAGATTTAGATTTTAATATATTCTCTAAGTTAGTTTTTAATAATTGTAATATTTTTTTTATGTAGTTTTTTAAAAAGAAGTTTTATAATTATTTTTAAAATAAGTTTTAGATTGTAAATTTTTTCTCTAACTAGTTTTAAAAAATTTGTTAACATATTTTTAAATTAGTTTTAAAGTTTCATTAATTAATTTTTTAGAGTTTACTTTTTATGATATTTATATATATTAGTTTTTCTAAATATTTAGTTTTTAGATTTATGTATATACATTTTCAAATCTAACTTTTTTTTAGAAAATTGTGTAAATAGTTTCTTTTTTTGATTTAATTTTAAGAACTTAAATATATTTTCATAGAAGTTAGATCTTAGCATTTTCTTTTTGTTTGAGGATTTATTTCCTCGTTTTGGTCGATGAAGACACTTCTGTAATTCATTACTAGTCAAATTATTGATAAGTAATGTTGGATCTGAGACCACCTCTTTTCTCTCTTCGTCACTTGTTCCAACTCGATTCAAAAGCATTGACAAACCATATTCAAAATTCAATTATCTTTGTATTGAATTAAAAAGAGGGGATTAAGTGTAGACTTTCTTCCTCTCTGAGTGTTGGGATGCCCACTGTAGTGAGGGTGGTTTCGACACTCGTCTTTCAATACGAAGACGCTTCCCATCCATTTTCAAATCTCATCTCCTTAAAATCAATTCTTTGTATTGAATTAAAAAGAGAGGATTAGGTGTAGACCTCTTCCTCTCCGAATGTTGAGATGCCCACTGTAGTGAGGGTGGTCTTGATATTCGTCTTTCAATACGAAGACGTTTCCATACCACCTCTCCTAAAACCTCGGTCTCGTACCGAGTCCATTTTCAAACCCTTCCTCCTAAAACCTCGGTCCCGTGCCGAGTGTATCTTCGAAAACATTTTTAAATCATATTCTTTGTATTGAATTAAAAATAGAGGATCAGGTGTAGACCTCTTCTTCTCCGAATGTTGGGATGCCCACTGTAGTGAGGGTGGTCTCGATACTCGTCTTTCAATACGAAGATGCTTCTTTGTCCACCACCTCTCACTTTCACAACTTCATCCCGCAACCCTTGTCACCTAAAAACCTCGGTCCCGTACCGAGTGCATTTTCAAATCATTTTTATAACAAAAACTTGAATGGTCGTGGAGTGGTTAGGCGTAGGCCTTCTCCTATCCCGAGTGCTGACGTTTACCGTAGGGTTCTCTGTCGCAAAGCACTTACCATTCAAAACCCAAAACACTTAATAAGAGAACGAAGCTCTCTTTATGTTGAATTAAAGAGAGAGGATTGGGTGTAGACCTCTTCTTCTCCGAGCGTTGGGATGCCCACTGTAGTGAGGGTGGTTTCGACGCTCGTCTTTCAATACAAAGACGCCTCGTTCGCCACACCTTTTTATAACAAAAACTTTGAGATAACGAATTGGGTACTACTCGTAGGGGTTACTATCCGAGGACCTATCTCGCCCCCTAAAAACAATCCAATCAATCAAACGTGACTTCTTGCCTCGCGTGGCGAAAACTAATCAATCTTTCAAAAAGGATATGTTACGTCCGTTCTACCGCAAACAGGTAACGCCTAAGTCTCCAACGAGCGAGCAGCGAAACACCTAACTGCTAGAATGCGCACGATAGCATCATCCATAAAAAAACATCAACAAACCGTAGGCCGAACTACGGCTGCTCTGATTCTTTACTTTGCTCAAGTAAAGATACGTAGGCACAAGGGCCACAATCCTTGCCGAGCACATTCCCCCTATATCTGTAGTTTCCCGAACTACATCGACTCTGACTTTCTCACATCTATTGAGAATACGTAGGCATAGGACTGCGAAGTCCTACCGAGTCTGTTCTTTCTCTTTTCTTCCCCGTTCTCTCTTTCCCCCTAACTTTCATGTTTCTAACCCTTCTTTTACCCAGTGGAACACTTCTTATAGCATAATAGTTAAGCAGATATAATTACACATACGACAAACAAAAGGTTCCCATCGAGTACGATGGATGCGAGGGGTGCTAATACCTTCCCCTCGCATAACCGGCTTCCGAACCCGTTCATGGTTGCGAGACCATCTTATCCATTATTTTCTTAAGGTTTTCTCGATATTTCCTTTCCCCTCATGGGATAAATAAAGTTCGGTGGCGACTCTTCTGTCCTTTCTTTTCGCCTCCCCGTCGTTGCATTTTTCGAGTAGCGACAGGAACTCCTAGAAGTTGTCATGCATAGGTTTCAACCTAAAAGTCTATCATCAAATCCTTATCAAAGGAAATGAGAGTCCTAAGGGATCATGTCAATGATACACCAAAACAGACAAAGCATCAACTTAACAGTAAAATGCATGCAATGCAAGTGAGGAAGGAAATGTGTGTGGGGCTTCAGCCTCCGCAATCTCATCTCAACCTCAAGCCAGAATGAAATAACAGTAATCATACTGAAATATAAACAACATGCTATCAAGCAATAAACAGTGAACTGCAATCATACAGATAAAAATGAAATGAAATGCCATCAGGCAAACAAACCACATGGGCAAGGGAGCTGGGCTCTACCGAATACCCGCAAGCAAAGCCACTCAATAACAATACAAGCAGAGGGAGCAACTCAACCTCTAATGCAATCATGCTCCTAGATTCTATCTATTCTAGATATGGACTTATTCTAATGCAACAAACAAGTCAAACAAAACACACAATACAGAAAAGAAAACAGAAGATCAACTTCAAGCTTCAGCTTCTCCAACAGCAACTCAGTCTTCAGACTTCAATCATTCTTGACAAACATCAGTTTGCTCTCCCAGGTTTCAATCCTACAACATGAGTTTCAACTCATCTTCTCCTTTAAGCTTCAGCTTCTTGATCAGCTCCACCTTCAGGCTTCAACTAATCTTCAGGGATCTTCAAGTATCAACTTGATCTTCATGCTCTTCAAGCTTCAGCTGGAATGGCAATCTT